AACTTCTCATCAGCAAGCAAACATTTCAGAGAAGGGGGAATGGAAGAATTCAGGGAGAGGCTTAAGAAATATGTGGTGAGCATCGTAAGAGGTAAGGGTCCTCAGTCTTTCATTTGGCAGAGTATGTCAAGTCTTCTGAGTTGCAAGATTTCATGCAAACTAGCACTCCAAGACCAAAAAGAGTGGTGGTGGTGGTGGGGAGAGGTAGGATGATGGGTGGGTGGATGGATGGAAGGAAATAATATAAATAAATATACTATCTATTTTATACCTTATCTGATTTCCTTGCTGTGTGCCCCTCTAAATTCACATGTAGAAACTCTAATGCCCAATGTGATGGTATTAGGAGGTGGGACTTTTTGGAGGTGATTAGGTCATGAGAGCAGAGTCTTCATAAATGAAATTAATGCCCTTATAAAAGAGGCCTCACAGAGGTTCCCTTTACTTTGTGAGGATATGAGAAGTCTACAATGCAGAAGAGGGCCCTCACCTGACCCTGGACTTCCAGCCTCCAGAACTGTGAGACCTGGAGTCCTGTTGTTTATAAGCCACCCTGCTCCTTCCTTCCTTTCCTTTCTTTTCCTTCCTTCCTTTCTTTCTTTCTGTGTGTAGGCGGGACTTAAAACTCAAGACCCTGAGATCACCACCTGAGCTGAGATCAAGAGTTGGAAGCTTAACTGACTGAGCCACCCAGATGCCCCTAGTTGTACTTTTTTCTACTTTCCAGAGAAAAATTCCTATTTTAATAGTCCTTATTAGGATTTTTCATTGGTTGGTCCCTTATATTAGACCATCAACACTGAAGGTAGTAGAATAAACTTGACTGACAGTGTAAGGACAGGGTTATTTCACTCAACTTTATGTCCTTGGTACTAAGAAAAGGGCAGCCTTTAAGGAAACATATGTAAGAGCCACATTCACGAAAAGCAGACCTGGGAGCACATCAGAGGATTAAAACAACAGAGGTAGAAGTCTGTCATTGCGGATTGGGTCCAGGTGCATTCATAAACCTTCCCCAGGGGCTCACCCTCACCATTATCTTGGTGTTTAAAAGGCCCATTTAGATGACTGGCTGCAAACACACTGGGATGCTAAGTGAGATCTGCCTCTCTGATCTCAGAAACCATCTGCCTTGGCTCCGGAGCAATTATTTATAGCAGATAGGACTGATGTGGTGTCAGGACCAAGTCCCAGAGACTTAATTCCTCCAAAGATGGCAAAAGTGTCTGTTGGATATACAACAAAGAGGACCCAGAAACCCAAACAGGGCGGGTTGCAGCAGATGCTCTCTAAGAAGGGTCACCAGCACTCAGAATGTCAGAGCTGAAGTAAGGGTGCGTCACACAATCAAATGTGCAAAGACAAGTGCAAAGGTACTTCTGACAGTGGGTCAACACTGTCCACAATTTCCTTTCAGATGCTCTCAACTTCATTTGCTAACTTCCTGCTGACTAGGTGCAGTCCCATGACCCCACTGGATAATGTGACCTGAGGCTGCATATTCCATGTCAAAATTTGGAAGGAAAAAAAGATCTTCACTGTGGTAAACAATCTTTTATTTGTTAAAGCACCTTCCAACCCGCCCGTGCTGTTCAGCTTCACCAAAAAACGACATGGCTATATATAACTCGTGAGTCTAACTTACAGCTTTTGACGAGGTACCTGGGGTTAAGAAATAAAAGCTATGTCCCATTTCTCATTTTTAAGTGGTACTTATCCTTCCAAGGACAGTGGTATTTACAGCCTCAAAAGGCAGAACTATATATTATGAACTTCAGAATGCTGTTAAAGAATTTTTAAATTTTTTTTTTTTGGCGGGGGGTGGGCTGCCTCGTGGTGGCCAGAGAAGCAGAAGCAGAGCGTAGTATTTAGCAAACAGCCTCAGCCAGGAAGCAGTAGGTGATGTGGACAGCGGAAGCCCCAAGCTGGTAACCAGTTCCACGAGTACACGCAACAGTGGAGCCCCAAAAGTAGCATGGGCACGTCTTATTCAGGTTTTCTAACCCACCCACATAAAGCAAAATCAGATTAATAACAAAGCCAAAAAAAAAAAAAAATCAGCTAACAAACTCATTCAGCTGGGCAAAACATGCTATGAGATCTCCTATTGGGAAAAAATTCCGTATTTCCTATGGGGAATCTGGTTCTGCCTTATTTTAAGCAGTACAGACTTAGAGTTACAAAAAATAAATCAGAGGGTTACCTCTTCATGAAAGAATTCACTACAGAATTTCCTTAAAATGTAATTTCCCTGGTTCATTTCAAATATAGATTTATATAAATTCAGTTTATTCAATATTCAGGAATCTCTCTTTGGAAAAATGAGAAAACAGGCTCTGGAAGGTAGGAACAGCCAATGTTCAGGGTCGGCCAATAGTTTCTGCATACTACCCCAAAGACATTGGGATAACGATTTACATACAATATGCTTTAAAAATATGTAATATGTATATATATTCACTTCCTTACGACCCCAGAACTTTTCCGCATTTCTCATTATCTGGCTTGGAAAGCTACCTGCTCAGCTTTTGTGGCTGAGGAAAGGGGCAAGCTTTTCTTTAGAAGTTTCCCTTTAAGTGGTCTGGTCCAGGCGATATTTTTAAATCGTACTTAAATCTCACCCCACGAAAGGGTGGGAACTAAAACTGGCTGCTGAGCTAGTTAACTGCAGGTGTCCCCAGTTCATCCAAGCCGATGAAGAAATACCCTCGTGTATGCACGAAGCCACACACAGCAGGATCTGCCCGCACAGCCAAGGCAGAGTAATTCAGGAAATAAATTATCCCCAACTCAGGAGAAAAGTTATAGCAACACGTTAATCAGGTGGACAGAGATAAAATCCTTTAATAAACAAACGCTGGCGTCTAAGTACAGTCCTGTTTAGGTTGTGCACTAGGAGGGTGTGTGGCGTTGCCTTCACCAGATCGGGTGGGATAGCGGGAGGGCAAAGGGCCGAGAACAGGGAGCAGGCAGAATACACGGAGACCTGGGGTTCGGCCCCACCGAGCGGTTCTTGAGTTGCCTAGGGCTTCACGGGCCTAATAGTTACTACAGAGAAATATAACGGGATCTCCCCACCTCCCGACAGTACTAACGTGGAAATATTATATTCCTGCCAAAAATGAAAACGCATTTTATTGATCATATTACACCTGTTTTACCTGTAAATGTGACATATACAATCTATTCCTTACTAAATAAAATGGGCAAAAGAAATACCAAAATATTCATTTAAAAACATATTTATTAAGAAGAAAACTCATCTCGGGGCGCCTGGGTGGCCCAGTCAGTTAAGCGACTGCCTTCGGCTCAGGTCATGATCCCGGAGTCCCTGGATCAAGTCCCGCATCGGGCTCCCTGCTCGGCAGGGAGTCTGCTTCTCCCTCTGACCCTCCCCCCTCTCATGTACTCGCTCTCTCTCATATAAATAAATAAAATCTTAAAAAAAAAAAAAAAAAAAGAAGAAAACTCATCTCTAGGGAGAGGCCCAGGATGGGTTTGGATGGCAGGGCTAGGGGGGAAAGGGTTGGAGGGAGATTTGCTTTCTACTTTATATCCTTTTGTGTCAGTTTAACTGAGTATAATATGTATGTATTACTTATTCAAAGAGATATGTGTTGATTCATCACATCACATTTTTATAAATCAAAACACAAAGTTTTACAAAAAAATGGTAATGAGTAGTGACATCAAAATATAGGGCACCTGGGTGGCTCAGTAGGTTAAGTGACTCTTGATTTCGGCTCAGGTCATGATCTCAGGGTTGTGAGATCGAGCTCTGCGTGGACATGGAGCCTGCTTAAGATTCTCTCTCCCTCTGCCCCTCCCCTTCTCTAAAATACACACACACATACACACACATACAATGAATAATCAAAGATCCATCATCCAAGCAAAAACTAACATTCTAATTTTTTTAAAATTATGAGTAGACATGAACATGGTTAGAATAAAGCAAAACCTAAATTGTCCTAGACTAATTGATACATATTGTTGTCTAGCATTCCATTAAATGATGATGATGATCATAATAATAACAGTTCATACTTACCTTACACTTAGTAGGTACCAGACACTGGCCTAAATCCTGTTCTTTTTAAAAAAATGTTTATTTTATAATTTAGCAGATTTGGGAGAGAAAGAGCGAGCATGCATGTGAGCTGGGGGGATGGAGAGGGGGAGAGGGAGAGAATCTTTTTTTTTTTTTTAAGATTTTATTTATTTATTTGACAGAGAGAGCGAGCACAAGCAGAGGGAGTAGTAGAGGGAGAGGGAGAAGCAGGCTCCCTGCTGAGCAGAGAGCCTGCTCCATCCCAGGACGGAGATCATGACCTGAGCTGAAGGCAGATGCTTAACCATCTGAGCCACCCAGGCGTCCCAAGACAGAGAATCTTAAAGCAGACTCTGTGCCGAGTGCAGAGCCCAACTTGGGGCTCAAACTCACGACCCTGAGATCATGACCTGAGCCGAAATCGAGAGTCGGATGCTTAACCAACTGAGCCACCCACACTCCCCTAGATCCTATTATAGTATTTCTAAATGCTGCTACAGTGTTGTTGGTCTAATAAGCATTTATAGGGGCACCTGGGTGGCTCAGTCATTAAGTGTCTGCCTTTGGCTCAGGTCATGATCCCAGGGTCCTGGGATCGAGCCCCACATTGGGCTCCCTGCTCGGCGGAGAGCCTGCTTCTCTCTCTCCTACTCCCCCTGCTTGTGTTCCCTCTCGCTGTGTCTCTCCCTCTCTGTCAAATAAATAAATAAATAAAATCTTTAAAAAAAATAATAAGCATTTATAAAAAATACTCAAGGTAGAGAAAATCCTGGTGAAAATGAAACACTGAGAAAAACTTGAAAGCTGGCCAGAATATACATGCATATCTGTAATTATGTTTTTTTCCATACCACAAAGAAGCCAATTCTTCCACAGAAGTGATAAAGGCCATAATGAGGCTCAACAAGGAACTCTGTGACAGCGGATATCTTCACTTCTAGGAACTTACCAAAGGTGTGTCTTTTCCTCCCACAATGCTGAGACCAAGACCTGAACGTCCCTTGGATATTTCTATAATCATTTCCTGGCCAGGAACAATGGGACAGGTGGCTGGGTCCACTGACAGAGGGGCCTGGAAACCACCTGGAGAAGGATGAAACACAGAATGATGGGCAAGCAGGGGATGCAGCCCGGCACGCACACTCCATTAGTTGGGGAGCACAGGGTTTACACATGTTTGTCATTTCACTCTTTTCCTGCTGAGCACCATGCAACAAAGAGCTGGGTCCTTAACGCCCTTTCAGGAAGGGATGAAACCCGACGCTTTTGAGATGAAAACAGTAACTACCCCCCCTACTCAATCATCTATTTTAAGTGTACTTGAAATTTTTTTAAGCTTAAAACATACCCTGAAAACTCATACGGAAAGATGTAAGATGATTAAATGATTAAGTACATATAGGCGTCTGTTATAATGAAAATGAAGACTGGTATGACAGAAGATTCTGGGTTATAGTTAGAAGATACTAAGAAGAATTAGTGCTTAAATACTTTCAGTTAGAGCATATCATGAATTAAGATATATAAAGGATTTCATCAATAAAGTATGATGTTAAGATAAGAATTACCTAACAATGATCCCGAAACATATAGTTAAAAAAAAACAACAAAACTGTCATAAACACAACATTCAAGAACTAACTGCCGGGTCCACAGCTGAAAAACTTGTTAAAGGAGTTACTCCTACTTTATAAAGGTTTACTTTTTAAATTTTTAAAAAAGATTTAATTTTTTATGTTTAATTTAAATTTTTAACATTAAATTTTTTTTTATGTAACCTCTACCCTCAAGGTGGGGCTGGAACTCACAACCTGGAGACCAAGAGTCTCATGCTCTACTGACTGAGCCAGCCAGGTGTCCCATGGTTTACTTTTTAAAATCATTGTTTTATTTATTTTTCTTAAGTAGATTCCATGTCCAGCATGGAGCCCAACGTGGGGCTTGAACTCACGACCCTGAGATCAAGATCTGAGCTGAAATCAAGAGTCGGTTACTCAACCAACTAAGCTACCCAGGTTTCCCCAAATCACTGTTTTAGATTGGGTTTCTTTAAAAAATGAGAGAAAAAAATATTTACTGGCTAGGAAAAGATGTTTAATACAACCCCTTTATCCAGCATAACTTCTACATATGTGTATTTTCCAGATGACTGAACCCAACTAATTGGAAAATCAAAATATTCAAAATGTTAGCTTCAAGAGCTTCTTGTACAAATAAGGAGCCTCCAAAGAATGTCATCTTTTTTGACAACTAAGTTCGATCATCATGAGTACTGACTCTTACCCTGGGATAGAATTTAGTTAAGGGCTGAGAATAAAGGGCCCCACCTTTTGGCCAGCTGCAGCTAATGCACAGGGGCCAAACTGGGATCCTCAAAGCTCATTAAACATCTGTCCCAGCAAGGGCCCCCACACTATGGACTACAGGCTAAGAATGATTTTCACATTTTCAAAAGGTTGAAAAAAAAATGAAAAGAAAAATAACATTTCAAGACATGTGAAAATTACATGAAATTCAAATTTCAATGTCCATAAATGAAGTTGTATTGGAACACAGCCCTGCTAATCCATTTACTTCCAGTCTACGGCTGTTAGCATCCCGCGACAGCGGAGCTGAGTACTTGCAACAGAGACCATATGGTCCACAAGCCTTAAATATTTACTATCTGGCTCTTTACAGAAAAAGTTTGCCAATCCCTGATATTCAACAAAAGGAGAGAGGTTCTAGGTAAGCCTGTGGAGGGTTCTGCTCTGACTCAGCAAGAATAATAATAAAGCAGGTTTTGGAGTGGTGGGGACGTGGATTTAAGCTCCCCAGAAGGGAATTAATAGGTGGGTAAAAATGGAGGCTCATTCCTCATCCGAAAAATGCACGTAGCGAGCTGCTTTCTAACAGGAAGTAAATGAACAATGTGTGTGTGGTGCCCAGTCCAGCAACTGGCATAACGCATACAGTTGCTCTTTCTGACCGCATGGCATTTATTAAGCTAATGGCCTCCTAGTTAAGAGTGAGAAATTTAGTGACACAACCTCGGTAACAAAAAATGCCCTATTAGAAGGAGAGTATTAAATTATAAACCTAATCTGACTCTAGATCTTTTGGCAGCAAATGTATTTCACACTCCATTTTCCATTCATTTACAATAAAAACAATGTGCAATAGTGCCTAATTTCATAAATGCTTTACAAAGTTTATACTCCTTTTGTAAATGACTAGTTAGCCTCTTGAGTGAGAAGAGAGATGCTGGGGATGGCATTTCTCTTCTTTCACTTCTGCCTCACCCTGGCCAGTCCTGAGTCAGGGTTGGTATGTATTTCTCCCATACGGGCCAGCCCAAACCCTGATATACCAAGCCCCCGATAAACGTTTGGTAAGTAGATCACCAAATGAGTAGAATTTCCATAGATTAAATTATGGGGGATTAATTTGTTATCAAGATATAAATATGTGATGCATCTTATCAAAACTCAATTGGTCAACATTGTGGTTGCTTTCTTAGTAAAAGGCCAGGTGGTCAGTATTTTGAGCTTTACAGACCATACATTCTCTGCTGAACTACTCAATGCTATCCTCATTGTGTGAAAGCAACCTTAAGACTACAGGTAAACAAAGGAGTAGTCCAATAAAATTTTATTTATGGTCAGGGAAGTCTGGGTTTCAGATAATTTTCATGAAATACTCCTTTGACTTTTTCCAACCTCTTAAAAATATGAAAACCATTTTCAGCTTGCAGACCACACAAAAACAGATGGTGGGCCAAATCTGACCCATGGGTCAAAGTTTGCTGACCACATTCATCAAGTATTTTAGTAAAAACCCAGTACTTTAGAATAATACCTGCTTGCTAAAGTTTTTATTGAGTTAATATTTCTGAAAAAATATGCACAAGACAAATACATAAAGGTGTTAGGCCTGCTAAATTCATGCAGCGTTGTGCTTCGCCACTGGTGAGCCCAGTGTTTTAAATAGGCCACTTTTTTTTATGGACTTACATCACATAAAAGCAAAGTGGAAATACTCATTATTCATTTTGCAATTCTATTTTCAACTGCCAGTCAGCATAATTCATGCCAGGAATTCAAAGAGAGAAAGCGAATACTCATGTCTTTAAGCACTGAAAATTAACAGTCTTCAAATCGCTTACATCAACATATGCAAGGCTAACAATTTGACTGAATATGATTTTTAGGAGATAATACTCATACACTAAACACAATCTTTTGGAGCGATTACAGAATAATTTGTAAGCTTCATATGCAAACAGTATTTACTGAGGGCCTTTTTTTTGTTCTAGCACTTTCATACTCAATAAGCCCTGGGCAATCCCAGTAGCAGGTGAGGTGACCTGCCCACGTCCTGGAGCTAAGGAAGTGGAGGAGGGATGCAGAGCCAGGCTTCCTGACTCCTGGTCCAGTGCTCTTCCCAGGATATCATCATCCCCTCCTTTTCTCATGTTGGAGGAGTCAATTTCAGTTCGGCTCACAGAAAGAATCATACCATAGCTTGTGAAATCCACATCCGTGGAATGGTATGATGGAGCTGGTGCTAAAGATATCTCTTGTGAACTGAAGGAGACTTTTGTTGAATATTTTTGCTGTTTCATCTGGCTGGCAGCCTACAAAAGAAAGGAAAATTAGAGGAACGTCAAAGAGGAGAACGAAAACCAAAGGATAAGACTTTAAAACTGGTGTGTTGTTACCAAAACAATGGTGGCACTCCAATAATGTTGTCTGAGAATTTAGAGCGGGAGAGGAGGCAGGAGGAAGTTAGGATGATTTCTGTCCCATCCCCCATGCTTCCCTATTTAACTTGACATCTAAGATGTTCAGTGAAGGATGGATGAAGGAAGGGAAGGATAACAGCTGATGATACTCTATCATTGTGGTCTGTATACAATGCTGGGGCTGGGAAGCAGAACAAAAATTTTTACAATTTCCATTGATTCTGATGAAATCGATGTGAAGTCCACATACCCATGTTGTGCCCACTGAAAAGCAATCTATGCTGCAGATGTTCTGAGCATACAACATTCTCTTCTGGATACATCCACAATAGTTAAATGCATTAGGCAGGTTAATTGAGCAACATGAGGGCCAGGAAGAGGAAATTAGCATCCACTCAAAGTCTACTAAGTGCCAGGTACACCGAACATTTTAATTCACCTCCAAGAACTATACCTTATTCACCCTTGATTCCCAGTACCTGGAACATAGTGGACCCTCAATAAATGTTTGATGAATGAATGAATGAATTGCTGAATGGATATAGAAGAGCAAAATTGAAGACATGGAAACTCAGAGTTAAAAACGAATTTGTAATTCAATGAAGGTACAGAGACCTTTGCTGTGTGAGCTTTGGAAAGTTAACTCGTAATTCTGGATTTTTGTGGATAATACCTCCAATGAATATTAGTATTATAAAACTGAGAAAAACCAAAAGGACTCCATGCTCGCTTAACAGGCAGTTAAGAAACATAGGTAGTGACCTGACCTGCCTTCTGGATCTGTAGTTAGCCAGGGAACCCATCCCCAGCTGGAAGATTCTGGTGGAGGCAGTGAAGCACCAGGCTGTCCCTGGAGTCTAGAAATAGGATCAAGGTAACTGCTCCAGAACAATGACACCTCAAGATTCTGTCATTGGAAGGCTATGCCTCAATACAAGGCACCGTGCAGTATATAAAAACTAGAACACCAGCCATTGTGTATCTGTGTCGTGCTTTCCAGTTTTTAAAAACACTTTTACATCCATGAATTCTTTTAATCCTGAGAACAACCTGGAGAGTTAGACAATATTACTTTCTTTTCCAGATAAAGAAACCATGTCAAGTGGCTTGTCTGAAATCACACAGCCATTTAGAGGAAGAGGTCAGATTAAAAGTCAGTAGTAGCTAAAGAACGCTACAAATTATGTTTTTATTTTTATTTTTTATTTTATATATTTTTAAAAGATTTTATTTATCTTTTTGTCAGAGAGAGCGACAGAGCACAAGCAGGAGAACGCCATGGCAGAGGGAGAAGCAGGCTTCCCGCCAAGCAGGGAGCCGGATGTGGGACTCGATCCCAGGAGCCTGGGATCATGACCTGAGCCAAAGGCAGACGCTTAACCAACGGAGCCACCCAGGCATCCCTTATTTTTATTTTTTAAAGATTTTATTTTTAAGCAATCTCCACCCCCACTGGGGGCTTTAGCTCATAACCCTGAGATCAAGAGTTGTGAGTTCTTCTGACTGAGCCAGCCAGGTGCCCCAGAACGATACAGATTTAAAATGTTTCTCAAACAGCTGCTAGGCACTGATTCTATGGATGTTCATTTTCTTTTCTGTAGTTTTTCTCACCAACACTTAATAATGACCGTATACCTACTTAAGAAGACTTACTCAAAGACATATTTTCAGAGGGAAGGGGAAAAATGACAAATATGGGTTTACTACCAGAAAACTGAACAGTGGAACCACCTAGATATCAATTACTCTGAGGACCATATTTTCTAGTGTCCTTGAAGCTAGATACATCTGCAGGCTAAGTTTTGGTCAGTAGGATGAAAACAGATGCGAACTGTACAGTTTTCAGGTCATTTTCTGCAGGATAAGGATCCTGCCTTCCTCTTCTCCCAAACTGGAATGCAGATGGGATGACAACATCCGAGCAGCCGTCTCAGACCCAAAACTGGACGCATTTTTTTTGAGGATGGTAATCAGATAAGAAGTGCCTGAGTGTGTGATACTGTGGAGACAGCGTATCATCCTCACACTGATTACACCCATACTTGATACAGAAGAGAAACTTCTTGGAGAGATTGAGCCTAATCTTAATTCATACAGCACTTATGTTCAACTTTTGTTTTCTATCACCTTTAAAAAGAACATCAATAACAAAGATGCTAAAGCGTTCTTAGCGATTTTAAAAAAAGATGTATTTATTTTTTTAACCACTTTATTTTAATTTTTTAAAGATTTTATTTATTTGTCAGCACAAGCAGAGGGAACAGCAAGCAGAGGGAACAGCAGGCAGAGGGAGCAGACTCTCTGCTGAGCAAAGGGCCCGACACAGGACTCGATCCCAGGACCCTGAGATCAGGACCTGCGCCGAAATCAAGTACTCTTAACCGACTGAGCCACCCAGGCATCCCTATTTATTTGAGAGAGTGACAGAGAGAGCGTGCATGAGTGGGAGGCGAGGGGCAGAAGGAGAGAATCTTCAAGCAGACTCCTTGCTGAGCCTAGAGCCCTATCCATGAGATCATGACCTGAGCCAGAACCAAGAGACACCTAATTGACTGAGCCACCCAGGTGCCCCAGAATCATGTGATTTTTAAAACAGTAATGTTTGTACTAATCGTTTTATCTCAGCTCCAGGTTGCATCCCATTGCATTGTGCATAATACGTTTCCAACAGATAGAGATAGCACTGAACTCAATTAAAAAATAAGGAAACAGTCCATAAAACCAAGTGAAACATCCAACATAAATTTTTAGAGGCTGACCTCTTGTTGGTAGGTGTGGTGATAGATGGAATGTGTGCCCCTGTGACTCACCCATCAGCACAAACCCAAACTACTTAGAATGAAAGATAAGAAAGGTTGGATTTTCTGTTTAATGTCTTCTATTCAAACATGAAGAGTTGGAATGGACTTTCTAGGTTATCCAACCTAACTAAACCAGTGGTTCTCAAACCCCGTCTTCATAACAGAAATTGCCAGGGAGTTTTTTTTTTTAAGATGCTGGGATTTCTCCCCCCAGCCCCATCCTAGACCAAATAAATTGGCACCTAGGTGGAGCCCAGGCAAATTCTATTTAAGAATTACTGCTTAAAGTTAAACCATGGATTCTTCACCCAGGGTAAATGGGTTTCTAAGAGATCCACAAAGGACATTTTGGGAATTATCAAAGTCATGTGTTGTACTAAAATTACGTTTATCAGTGTTTTTTGGGGAAAGAGTCTACAGTTCATTTAGGGTGGGAAAACAAAAATCACCACTCAAAGAAGATATGAACTGTTGAGTTTGCTAGTACTGATTAGCTGTGTGGCCACAGGAGAGTCACTTCACCTCCTTACACCTAAACTTCCTCATCTGTAAATTGGGAGCGATATTTCTAAACCTTGTGAGCTTGTTCAAAAGATCAAAGAGAAAAGGACATAAATAAACCTATCACTATGCCAGGAACAGTTTAAGATTTCAACAGATAATAGCTATTAATGTCTTCATGTCTTTTGATAATAAACGACCAGCCAGCTCCTGATTAAAAACCGTCCGGGTGGTTTGGAACATCTCAAGGGCTGGGGTAGTTCTTTTTTTTTTTTTTTTTTTT